GAAGGTGTGATGGAAACAGGTAGTCCTTGACTAAACCTCAAATGAGACCAATGTTTCTGTTGATGAGACAGTTAAGTGAGTTTTGTCCAGTGGTGGGATTCAGCTGGTTCTCACCATTTCAGCAGAACCGGGAGCTGATTTTTTGTTGCCCAGGCCCAGAACGGACTTCTGGATGCGGCATCCACACAGAGAACCAGTTGTTCACTTGTTTGAATCCCACCACTGGATGGATAGATGGAAAGAAAGAAAGAAAGAAAGAAAGAAAGAAGAAAGAAAGAAAGAAAGAAAGAAAGAAAGAAAGAAAGAAAGAAAGAAAGAAAGAAAGAAAATTACAGTGGTGGGATTCAGCCAGTTCTCACCACTTTGGCAGAACCGGGAGCTCATTTTTTGTTGCCCGGGCCCAGAACAGACTTCCAAAAGCAGCATCCCCACAGAGAACCGGTTGTTCACATATTTGAATCCCACCAATGGGTGGGTGGGTGGGTGGGTGGATGGATGGATAGATAGATAGATAGATAGATAGATAGATAGAAGAAAGAAAGAAAGAAAGAAAGAAAGAAAGAAAGAAAGAAAGAAAGAAAGAAAGAAAGAAAGAGTGGTGGGATTCAGCTGGTTCGCACCACTTCAGCAGAACCGGGAGCTCATTTTTTGTTGCCCGGGCCCAGAATGGACTTCCAAAAGCGGCATCCACACAGAGAACCAGTTGTTCATATATTTGAATCCCATCACTGGTTTTGTTCCATTTTACAACTTTTATTCCCACAGTTATTAAGTTCTTAGTAACATGGTTGTTAATTGAATCTGGCTTCCTCACTGACTTTGCAAAAGGGGATCACATGATCCTGGGACACTGCAGCCATCCTAAATATGAGCCAGTTGCCAAGAGCCTGATTTTTTTGATCACATGACCAAGGGGATGCTGCAACGGTCGTAAGTGTGAAAGATGGTCATACCGGTAAGTCACTTTTTCAAGTATTGTAATGTCTAACGTTCACTAAACAAACTATTGTAAGTCAAAGACTACCTCTATGTTTTCCACTTTGAGTTATTTGTACAAAATAATAAAGGCTGGATATAAATAAATTAAATATTGAGAAATTATAATTCAGCAAAATTAACATCTTACCTTAATGGGGCAGAACAGAACTTCAGCTTGTATAGAAATAGAAATAGTAGAAATAGAAATAATAATAGAAATAGAAAATAAATAGAGAATAGAGGAGAATAGAGGAGAATAGAAATAGAAAATAAATAGAGGAGAATAGAGAATAGAGGAGAATAGAAATAGAAAATAAATAGAGAATAGAGGAGAATAGAAATAGAAATAGAAAATAAATAGAGAATAGAGGAGAATAGAGAATAGAGGAGAATAGAAATAGAAATAGAAAATAAATAGAGAATAGAGGAGAATAGAGGAGAATAGAAATAGAAATAGAAAATAAATAGAGAATAGAGGAGAATAGAGAATAGAGGAGAATAGAAATAGAAATAGAAAATAAATAGAGAATAGAGGAGAATAGAAATAGAAAATAAATAGAGAATAGAGGAGAATAGAAATAGAAATAGAAAATAAATAGAGAATAGAGGAGAATAGAGAATAGAGGAGAATAGAAATAGAAATAGAAAATAAATAGAGAATAGAGGAGAATAGAAATAGAAATAGAAAATAAATAGAGAATAGAGGAGAATAGAAATAGAAATAGAAAATAAATAGAGAATAGAGGAGAATAGAAATAGAAATAGAAAATAAATAGAGAATAGAGGAGAATAGAAATAGAAATAGAATAGGATCTTGGAGGTCACCTGGTCAACCAGGATGACCTACCCCATCTCAGACAGGTGACTGTCTAGCCTCCTCTTAAACATCTCCAATGATGGAGCACCCACGATTTCTGAAGGCAAAGTTGTTCCACTTTGTTCCCTACTTCCAGGGATGGGGAGAAATAAATCTTGGTTTTTGCAATTCCCCAACCAAAGTTGCTTTCTCCACCCTCCCAATCAATGTTGCCTTCATTAACATTGTCTGCTAAACGCTGGTTGGACATCCAGACATAATTGAAATCTGAATTGGTTATTCTTTCTGCCTGATTGCTTAAGATAGTTTTATCATTATATTTGGGGCCTCGGGTGTGCTTTGTTCATCCTAATGAGTGGGAATGCTAATGAGGAACTAATGAGCCTGTTCAGCAAGACACCTCGGACTGCTCCTAGGAGCTAATTAGTTAAATTTCCTGACTCTTGTGATTAGCAGCCCAGTCCTGTGTCACATCTATTCTAATGCTTTCAAGCAGCTGCTTCAGAAAGAAAATTACTTATGTTAAATACATTAAGATGAACTGAATATAAAGTGCTATATTCACCCAGCCCTACTACATCTTCAAAAAAAGACAATAATTAATATTTTAAATTCAGCCAGGGAACAGAGCAGGCTCGCTCTGCAGAGCTCATGCTGGCTTCATTTGGCCTCAGGTGAAAACCCCTCTAAATTTTTATAGGTTTTTAAATTGACTGACACTGTTTTTGATTCTGAGCATCTGCCCTGCTCTTCCTCGCTTACATGGTGTTTTCATTTTAAATGTTATTTCATTTTAGTGAAAATGTTTTTATTCTGACTGTATTTTTTGAATGGATTATATTGGAAACTTCCCAGAGAGTTTCAGCTATTGGGCAGTTTAAACATTCTATAAAGAAATAAAATCTAGCTTTTATGAGTCCTTTGCAGAAAAGAGATCCTGATCAATTGTCATGGTTACTTTATTTTTGTATTCGTTGTTATGTCCATTGGTCAGATAGCCCTTGAAGTTTTTTAATGGATAATCTGTTTTGCTCATCACTGTCAAAAATGAATAGAATCAGGGGAAAAATAAGCTGCTTTCAGACTGCTGAACAATACAGGAAAATATTTATGAAAGTTTCTGTAACTTTCCAGGGACAATCACCATAAAAGATAGTTGTAAAAGGATCATCAGTAAATCATCATTCAGATAGTTGAATTTAGACCTAGAGATAAATTACCAGATGCTTGGGGACAGCTAAAATAACCAACTTAAGTAGTTTTCCTGGCCCTTAATAAAATCAAGACAACCGATAGTAAATTGGAGAGCTTAATTATGGACAGCAGTTGTAGAGGATCATCTATGATCTTAATGTGAAAAGAAAAAAAAGTAAACGTCCCTGACAAATATTCTATGTGGCCAAAATAATATATGGAAAGATAAGTAACTCTAATTAATTAGAAAATGACTGACTAAAATTATACATGCCCATGTTTCTGAATCAAATAGAAGAAATATTGCTACATCCTGAGTGCCAGAACTGTAACCCCATTTCAACTTTAAAACCCCCACAATTGCAAGTGTTGAAATCACAACAAATAAAAAAAAGAGGATATAGACATGTTGAAAGTTTCGTTGCAGGATTAAAACTCAGAATCCAAATAGAGATACCAGATAGCAACAGAGACATAATTTTAACATAAAGTATCTGGATTGCAGCAGAAATAAATGTTCCAGATAAAGAGAGGACTATTTTTTTTATTTCAACTGCAATCATATAGGCCTTAGCACTATTTCATTTGGCTTCAAAGAAGAATAAAAAACAGAACTAGGAGGTGATATGATAGCAGTCTTCCAATATCCAAGGGGCTGCCACAAAGAAGAGGGGATCAATCTATTTTCCAAAGCACCAGAAGACAAGAAACAATGGATGGAAACTAAAAAAAGGACAGAAGCAACCTAAAACTAAGGAGAAACTTCCTGACAGTGAGAACAATCAACCAGTGGAACAACCTGCCTCCAGAAGCTGTGAATGCTCCAACAATGGAAGTTTTTAAGAAAAGCCTGGACAGCCATTGGTCTGAAATGGTACAGGGTTTACTGCTTGAGCAGGGGGTTGGACTAGGTGACCTCCAAGGTCCCTTCCAACTCTGTTATTTTGTTATTCTCATACAAGCTGAAACTTCCCTTCAGTTCATGGAACCTTCTAAAGATTTTCTGAAAAAAGAAGCAGTTGCTTTAAAGGGTCTAATCGTTGACTCTTAAATCAGCCACATCTTTTTTGTAGTTTTCTGCCATAGAGAACCTGCCCCAGCCTAATGGCTTCCAGAAGTCCTAGAACAGGGATAGGCAACCTTGGCTCTTTCATGACTCATGGACTTCAACTCCCAGAATTCCTGAGCCAGCCATGCTGAGGGGAAAGGGAGAGGTCTAGAAGAAGCTGGATGGACTCAGTTACCGTAGTCATGGGAGCATCGTTGGAAGATCTGATAGATAGAAGCAGTGAATGCTCCAACAGTGGAAGTTTTTAAGAAGAGACTGGACAGCCATTGGTCTGAAATGGTACAGGGTTTACTGCTTGAGCAGGGGGTTGGACTAGGTGACCTCCAAGGTCCCTTCCAACTTTATTATTATTGTTGTTGTTGTTGTAAAAAGCAACTGATTCAAACATGGTTCTTGCAACAGGAGGAAGGAGTAGGATAGCTTTCCACTCCTTGTTTATCCATCTGGCAAGCTGCAATTATCAACCCTGATAATTCTGCACCGAGGTCCTTAAATGGCAAGTTAAAGTCATAGGAAGCTACTTTCCAATGGAATATTTTGTTTTAAATAGTTCCTAGCTGTGAGAACAGCATGACAATGCAATCAATTCTCCTTTTTTTCAGATGAGTTCAAGATGAAATCAGACAGCCATTTCTCAGAAATCTTTTAGTTAAATTTCTCTAATAAAGAAGAGATTGGTCTTGATGACCTCTAGGATTCTAATGAACGCTGGAATCAGTTCAATGTCCACTTTTGGCAGGCCGTATAAAATGGTGCAACAGAAGAGAGGAATCCCTTTGTGTCTCACCAGCTGTGAGATTTTACTACTAATAAAGCATTGAGAAACTAACATTCCTCTTTCATTTAAACAGACCTATTGAAAGGAGCAGAAAATAATATTGTCTGAAAACTGAGCATAGCAACAAAGAAGAAACTTAAAGAAACTTGGTGAAGGCTGTTTTTATTCATATATGCTCTCCAGTTTTTAGCTACACAGCTAGTCCTTGACTTATGTCCACAATTGAGCCAAACATTTATGTTGCTAAGAGAGACACTTGTTAAGTGAGTTTTGCCCCATTAAGTGAATCACTGCAGTTAAGTTAGTAGCACGGCTGTGAAGTGGATCTGGCTTCTCGCCATTGACTGTGTTGGAAGAAAATTCTTCATCGTGGTTCATCCAAGCTGGGAATAAACATGGCAACCGCTTTGGGAAGAAGGTTGTAGTTTATTGGAGAGGAGAGCCAGACAGGAAGATGGTTCTAGCAGCAAGAGAAGTGAAAAAAAAAGGGCTGAGCACATGTAGGAAGTAGGTTTTTATACCCTCTGGAGCCTTTTGTTTGGAGTTGTTCCTGTGGCCTGAACTTTGACCTGAGTCTCAGTGTGCCTTTCTGGTATTCTGATGGTGATGGGTCAATCTTATTATGTCCAAAGGTCATCTCCTGCTTCCCTGGGGCCGATCACTCTTAGAGTTTGGGTGGGGTATGCAGATTTTAGGTCTTTGTCTTCTTAATCTCCTAGGTCCCTGGATTTACATCTGCATTTCTACAGAGCTGTTTTCTGCTTGGCAGAGGGAGACTTGGGGCTATTAAGAAAACTGGGCATGCTTTTCTGCCTCTTTAAGATCCTTTGAGGAAATATATTTTTCTGCCCTTTTTATTATGTCCTTCTCCGGCAGGGCTGACTTCCGATAACTGCTTGTCAGGAGGTACAAAACATGATCACGTGACTCTGGGACGTTGCGACTGTCATAAATATGAAACTATCACCAAGCATCTGAATGTTGATCACATGACCGGGGGGGGGGAAATTCTGCAATTGCTGTAAGCAGGAAAGGCGGTCATAAGACATCTTTTCAGCGCCGTTCCAACTTGGAACAGTCACGAAAAGAATGGTCGTAAGTCAAGGACTTCCTGTACAGTAATTCCTAACATGCCCCCCTCCCATAAAACTATTTCTCTGGATGGAAACATTGAACATAGACGTTCTAACACTTTTTAAAATTGTCTTTAAACTTGCAAGGCTACATCCACAGGATGTGATCAGTTTCTGTTTTTTAAACATTCATACTCTTGTGCTGTTTATTTTATTGATTGCTCTACAGCTAGTCCCCAGCTTACCAACACAATTCAGCCCAAAATTTATGTCACTAAGTGAGAAATTTGATAAGTGAGTTTTGCCCCAATTTATGACTTTCCTTGCCACATTTGTTAAGTGAATCATTGAAGTTGTTAAATTAGCCACACGGTTGTTTAAGTGAATTCGGCTTCCCCCACTGACTTTGCCTGTCAGAAGATCACAAAAGCGGACCACGTGACCCCCCCCCCAGGGACAATGCGACCGTCAAAAATGTGAGTCAGTTGTCAAGCGTCCGAATGTAAATCACGTGACCACGGAGGATGTTGCAACAGTTGTAAGTGTGAAAAACGGTCATAAGTCACTTTTTTCAGTGCTGTTGTAACTTTGCCAGTGTTTCTCAACCCTGACCATTTTAAGGCATGTGGACTTCAACTCCCAGAATTCTGGGAGTTGAAGTCCACATGCCTTAAAATGGTCAAGGTTGAGAAACACTGCTTGAACGGTCACTAAACAAACTGTTGTAAGTTGAGGACTACCTGTATGTCCAAATAAAAATAATTTGTTAAAAAGAGAGGAAAAGAAGTAGCACAAAGCCTCGTGGCTCTTTTCTGGGTTTTGTCAAAACCACCCAAATTGGGCCAGAGAGGAAAGTGACCTTGGAGGCAGCCGAAAGCTCGCTGACCTTGCGAAAAATACAGGCCAGGACAGGACAAGAGGCTCACTTTGCTTGGAAGAAATTGTAATTATTTTTGCAGTTAAATCTCCCACACTCTATCATTTAACTGCTTCTCTCTCTTTAACCCTCTTCCATTGTTACTGCACGTTTCATCTCTGGTCATTCACCCCGCAGCAATTCCAAATACTTTACGATGCAATAATTTTATGTGATGAAATTGACCCCAGTGCTAAATTGCCTTTCTTCCCGTTATCCCGCCCACTCAAAACATGTGAGGTCAAGGTTTTTAAATTTCTTTTTAGAAAAGATCAGATGCTGATGGAGGAATCCAGCGAGTGTGTCTATTCTGTAAAAGTGTGATTCATTGGATATATTTGGGTGTGTGTGTGTGTGGAAAGTCCCTGATATCCACCGACAAGCCTTTCGTGTAACTTGAATGTTACGTTCCCATGACCTCTGAAAGTGTTTTTGAAAGGTTACAGCTGGTCAGAAAGTTACCTTTGTCCGTGGAGCAGTTGGTCTTGGAGAGAGGACAAAGCACTGCAAAAAAACCCCAAATATTATTATTCTTTAGAGGAGGAGAAGACAAATCTTTGCAATGTAAAGAAAAGAAAGAATTAAGAATTGAGATGTTTGTTATCACACAAATCAGAATTAGTTTTAAAAGTCCTTGGGGGGTTTCCCCCCTTTTTTTGTTTTAACAGACTGGAGCTGGTAATGTGCATAACAATCAGGGCAATTAATTTACCGTGATAAATGTAAAGTAAAAGCTGCATTTGAAAGCCTTCTGCTGTGTCTATAGCAACACAGATCCATGGGTTGGGGGGAAAAAAAACCCAACCCCAAATAGCTAAATAAATGCTTGTACCAGCTGTGTTTTCTAAAAGGAAGACATCTAGGACATAGACCAGAAATACAGGATGCACTTTGGATCAGATCTCATTAGGCCAAATTGCATTTATCATTAGAAACCATGTCAACAGCAACTATGTATTCAATAACACGATTTCTATACAACGGGCATTTCCTCTGATCCCTTCTCTATTGAAATTATAACCCTAACCCTAGGGAGAAATTTCCCATTAGAATAGAGTAGAATGGAATGGAATATGGAATAGAACAGAATAGAGCAGAGCAGAGCAACAGAACAGAACAGAATAGAATAGAAATACAGAATAGAATAGAATAGAAATACAGAATAGAATGGAATAGAATAGAATAGAATAGAATAGAATGGAATGGAATGGAATAGAATAGAATAGAATAGAATAGAATAGAATAGAATAGAATAGAATAGAATAGAATAGAATAGAGTAGAGTAGAGTAGAGTAGAATAGAATAGAATAGAATAGAGCAGAGCAGAGCAGAGCAATAGAATAGAACAGAACAGAACAGAATAGAATAGAATAGAATAGAATAGAATAGAATAGAATAGAATAGAATAGAATAGAATAGAGCAGAGCAATAGAATAGAACAGAACAGAATAGAATAGAATAGAAATACAGAATAGAATAGAATAGAAATACAGAATAGAATAGAATAGAAATACAGAATAGAATTGAATGGAATGGAATGGAATGGAATGGAATAGAATAGAATAGAATAGAATAGAATAGAATAGAATAGAGTAGAGTAGAATAGAATAGAATAGAATAGAGCAGAGCAGAGCAGAGCAGAGCAATAGAATAGAACAATCAATCAGTGGAACAGCTTGCCTCCAGAAGCAGTAAATGCTCCAACACTGGAAGTTTTTAAGAAGAGACTGGACAGCCATTTGTCCGAAATGGTGTAGGGTTTCCTGCCCGAGCAGCGGGTTGGACTAGATGACCTCCAAGGTCCCTTCCAACTTTACTATTATTATTATTATTATGTAGAACGGAACATAATAGGATAGAATATATGGAAATGGAATGGAATGGAATGGAATAGAATAGAATAGAATAGAATAGAATAGAATAGAATAGAATAGAATAGAATAGAGCAGAGCAGAGCAGAGCAGAGCAGAGCAATAGAATAGAATAGAATAGAGCAGAGCAGAGCAGAGCAGAGCAATAGAATAGAATAGAATAGAATAGAATAGAATAGAATAGAATAGAATAGAATAGAATAGAAATACAGAATGGAATGGAATGGAATGGAATGGAATGGAATGGAATAGAATAGAATAGAATAGAATAGAATAGAATAGAATAGAATAGAATAGAATAGAATAGAGCAGAGCAGAGCAGAGCAGAGCAGAGCAATAGAATAGAATAGAATAGAATAGAATAGAATAGAATAGAATAGAATAGAATAGAATAGAATAAAGCAGAGCAGAGCAGAGCAGAGCAGAGCAGAGCAATAGAATAGAATAGAATAGAACAGAATAGAATAGAAATACAGAATAGAATAGAATAGAATAGAGCAGAGCAGAGCAGAGCAGAGCAATAGAATAGAATAGAATAGAATAGAATAGAACAGAACAGGACAGGGTAAAGTAGAGTACGGTAGAGTAGAGTAGAGTAGAGTAGAGTAGAGTAGAGTAGAGTAGAGTAGAGTAGAGTAGAGTAGAGTAGAGTAGAGTAGAGTAGAGCTGGAAGGGACCTTGGAGGTCTTCTAGTCCAGCCCCCTTAATTTCTCCTTAATTCCAGGTTGCTTCTCTCCTTGATCAGTTTCCAGCCATTGTTTCTTGTCCTTCCCTCTGGTGCTTTGGAGAATCATGTGACCCCCTCCTCTTCCTTGTGGCAGCCCCTCAAATACTGGAATGTGCTGTCATGTACATTTGGTACAGATAGTCCTTGACTTATGAGTAGAATTTTGTTGCAGTCACAAGTTGAGGCACAATTTTGGTTGTAAATTGTTGCAGTTCTAAGTTGAGATACTGCATGATGGGATTTAATTTTACAAACATTTTTAGGATGGCGGTAAAGTGAGTCATAGTGGTTGTTAAATGGTCCATGTGATTGTTAAGCACATCCATTTTCTCTGATGGGCCGTTTTTGCCCGAAACTGAGCAACAAAGATCAGTGGACTGGAGGCTAAAACATACAAGGAACGGTTGCTGGAATTGGGGATGTCCAGTTTAATGAGAAGGACGAGGGGGGACAGGATAGCAGTCTTCAAGTATCTCAGGGGCTGCCCCAAAGAAGAGGGAGTCAAGCTATTCTCCAAAGTGCCTGAAGGCAGGACCAGAAGCAACGGATGGAAACTAATCAAGGAGAGAAGCAACCTGGAACTAAGGAGAAACTTCCTGACAATTAGAACAATTAACCAGTGGAACAGAAGTTGCCTCCAGAAGCAGTAAATGCTCCAACACTGGAAGTTTTTAAGAAGAGACTGGACAGCCATCTGTCCGAAATGGTGTAGGGTTTCCTGCCTGAGCAGGGGGTTGGACTCAATGACCTCCAAGGTCCCTTCCAACTTTATTATTATTATTATAGATTGCCAAAACCTGTCCCAAACTGTGGCCATGTGACCATAGAATGCTGCAACTAGTTGTAAATGCAGACTGGTTGCAAAGTGCTTGAAATGCAATCACGTGACTGCCGGGGGAGGGAACAGCAGTCACAAACCTGAGGACAGATTGACGTTTTCGAAGTTCGTGGTAACTTCTACAGGTCTTTAAACGTAAATCAAAGGCTGACTGTGTCATATGTTGATGGAGATTCTCAATCATCCAGGTCATGGTTGTTCCAAAGCTGTTTTTTCCAAAAGCCAGTTGGACCTCCTTATTTTTAGTTTTCTTATGTTTTGCTTCTCATCCAAGAAGCTTCCCTAGTTGTAACTTTTCTTACTTCTACCATTAGAACTGAAGCAGTCAGAAGAGTTAGAACTGGTATGTCTAGGCCAGTGTTTCCCAAACTTGACAATTTTAAGGCATGAGGACTTCAACTCCCAGAATTCCACAGCCAGCGTTGCTGGCTGTGGAATTCTGGGAGTTGAAGTCCTCATGCCTTAAAATTGTCAAGTTTGGGAAACACTGGTCTAGGCCAGGGGTAGCAACCTTGGCTCTTTTGGACTTCAACTATGCTGGCTGAGGAATTCTGGGAGTTGAAGTCCACAAGTCTTAAAGTAGCCAGTTTGGAGACCCCTGGCTTAGACCATGGCTATTCTCAGCTTAGGATATTATGCTGAAGGTTTTCCAGGGGTTGATGGGACAATCCACTTTCTTTCATCTGCCTCCAGTATATATTTCAGAACTGCTCATGACCTGTTCCTACATTCCTGAAATGAAGGGCAGAAACAGACCGCAGGAATGAATGCATTTATTTATTCATTAGGTTTGGAGGCTGTCCAACTCCTGGATGACTCTAAGCAGTTCACCTTTTAGAAGGAGGAAATAATAAAACGAGAGAAGGAAGGGAAAAAACCATATGCATCCAGAGAATGCAAAGTCAACATCGCGGAAAAAGGAAAGCAATGAGGCTTTACAGCCTCAAGCCTGGGAGCAGAGCCAACTTTTCAAGGTCTTCTAGACCAATGGCGGGATGGGAGTCCTCTTGATCTCCAGGTGTGTGTGTGTGTGTGTGTGTGTGTGTGTGTGTGTGTGTGTGATGAACACTGTTCCAGAGGGCAGGACCTGCTGGGAAGTGGGTGAAGGATGGAAGGGGAATACCACTGCACTCTGTTGGCCATTCTCAACCAGCGGAAACAAAGGGAGGACAGACAAAGAGATGGAAGGGTACAGCCAGCATGGGAATTCTGGAGATTTGAAGTCCACACAAAGTCCACACAAGGTTGTGAAACACAGCTCTAGTCCAACACCAGAACAGTGCAAGAATCAACTATTGTGGAACTCAGACAGACACAGGTAGCTAGTCCTTAATGACAATCAGCTCATCTTACATCCGATTGCAACATTCTTTTTTTTTTTTTGTAGATATTCTATTAAGCTTTTATAGTTACAAGTTTTTAGTGCTTAGTAAACAACATGTTGTCTGGGTCCAGATATTTAACATTAATAATAATAGATAAATGGATGGATGGATGGATGGATGGATGGATGATAGATAGATAGATAGATAGATAGATAGATAGATAGATAGATAGATAGATAGATAGATAGATAATGGATGGATAGATGGAGGATAGATAGATGGATAGATGGATAGATAGATAGATAGATAGATAGATAGATAGATAGATAGATAAACTTTATTGTCATTTTTTTCCTGTGGGCACAATGGCACACATTAAAAATGAAATTTAGTTGCTTCCTCTCAAAGTGTACACATATATCTCACATTTAAAACATACTATATATTACATATATATAGACGTACACCCTTTCATATAAACATACAATACATCTGACATATAATACAACTTACAGTAGTAATAATAATAACTTCTTCAATATAAGTCTGTTCAATATTACACAATCCAGTGTTTTTTCCCGATCCTCCTTTCTTCCCATATTGTTTTCATTTTCCCAATACTGTGCAAATACAGTTCTTGCTACTATTAAAACATACACAATTAAGACTGCAACGTTCTGCAGTCATCAGACACCTATGTCCACACTAATCACTTATAGCATCTTTGTGAAGGTCCATGAGGC